GGTTCAGCAATTTCCGATTTAAGCTCTTTCAGGACCGTAGAGTGAATGCCATCAGGTCCTGACAATTTGCTGCTGTTTAGTTTATCAATTTCCTCTATGACCTCATCTACCGAAACCTCAATTTAAGTCAGCTCCACTGACTTGTCCCTAGAGAGGGGAGGACTGGAGGAGTGGTGAGGGAATCTCCCTAACATATTCCATATTGAAGACAGATGCAAAGTAATCCCAATCGGATTGTGGTCGCTATTGCACCAGGTCTAGAGGGTTACATTAAAAAGTTTTCTTAGACATACAGAGGGATGAGGTGGTCATTTCCCCCAACTGGAGCATGTCTGACTGCAACCTGCATCAAGTGTTGGTAGAGTAGGGGTGGGTAGGGAAGTTTTGAACAGAAGATGTATCAGAAGTGAGCTGGACTCAAGTCAAAGGAAAAGCAGTATAACCCAGGCATACTCTTCTTTTCTGGTAGCAATAGGTCTCCATGGCAGTTAAAGCATGCAGACTCAGACAGCTCTAGACTGCAACAGGTAAGGGAAAAAATCTTCTGTGTAGCTATTCATCCCAGAAGCCAAATGAAAAATAAAAGGGACTAGACTAGCCATCCTTCTAATGATACTATTTAAATAAGATCATTTAAAGAGCAAAGTTAATAACCCCAGAGTTAGTGAAAAACAATGTTGCTTTACACCCCAATTGATATATGCTGTGTACAAATGCCAATTCTAATATTGCCCTGCAAAGGTCAGTGAGATGGACCAAACCTTATCAGGCTACATTCAAAAGTCTTGTGTCTGCTCAGCCCATGCTCAGATAATACTAATACTAACATCTGTGGATCAAAACCGGAGTGCTGCTGAGGCACGAGTAGCATGGGAAGCCTGTGTGCAGGGCATAAAGCACTTCATGGAGGGGACAGGCAACACAGCAGCACAAAGGGCAGGGAGCAGAAAGCAGAGCAGCAGATGGGTCAGGGGAAAGGGATTGGTGTGGCAGGTGGGAAGGCCTATGACTTAATTTCTGGTATGCCTGCCAAAAAGATTGGCCCCCACTTGGATAATGAGTACTGTATAATGAGTGCTCAGCAGCTCTAGTTGTGGGTGTATCTCAGTAAGGACATGGTTAAAAGTGTGTTAGTGTTAAATTTTAGCTGATTCACAATTATACAAGTGCTGACAGTGTCTGAGCTGGATAAAATCTGCTTTTGCCAATTCCAATTGATATCAGCATTGCCTGTCACCAGATGCACTAAATAACTATTGATTAGTAGTCCTTCGCATCCTTCACTGATGTTCTGACAACTTATCACCACAGAGTAGCAAATTCAACCCCATTTCATAGCCTAACAGTACATAATTCCCTTCCTCCTTGTTTCATTCACAGGAAAACAACATCAACCTTAGAAAAAATGTATCCAACAGATCTCCTTTACACCCATGTGCCAACCCCATTCCAAGCATAAAACATCCATTTCCTTTATCCCTGTACAAGGAAATGGCATGCCCAGAAGAAACAGTTTACTGTTTCCAAAACTGACACCACCAACCAGTTTCTGTATGAGATTGGACAACCAAATACTTCAATGGGCCGAATCTATAAATCAGGGGGATGCCCAGGTCGACCAAGACTAAATTTGATCTAATAGGTTTTAAAGCCTGTATTTACTGAGTACGTTGGAAATCAAGCTATATACCATGAAGGTGAATTCAGTGGTTGTCCATCGATAGAGCTCCATTTTCTAATCCAATGACCAGTGTGTCAATGCCGTAGGCACACAGTTTAGGCACATAGTAGCACGCTGCAAAACTTCAAGCATTCTTTGGTGATCTACATCAGCTTTAAATGTCAAAGTTTCGCATCTGCTAACATCACCAAAAAGAAATAAACAGACACGTGTTCTCTATTTTGTTCCAACTGAGAGTCCGGTTAGGAACCTATGGCACCTCAAGACAAGACATACACATAAATGGTAATGGTACAATAGGTAGTATCAAAAAAATGCCACCCTGAGTCAAGCCACAGGTCCACCTAGCTCATTAGCCCATCTGAAGCCCCAGAAAGTCCCATGACTTTCTAGTTAATCTCCTCCTGGGCCTGGCCAACCTGTCCACTTACTACACTGGCAGAAGGTGCTGGCCAAAAGGAATCCAGATGACGGCACAGCTATCTTCCTTTACCATGTCCCTGCATGTCTCCATGCAGAGTTTTATTGAGCAGCATCAACTGGTTCATAGATTCATAGATTCATAGATGCTAGGGTCGGAAGGGACCTCAATAGATCATCAAGTCCGACCCCCTGCATAGGCAGGAAA